GTCTGCTGCCGTTCCCCTGCCCCGTGCGCAGCCACGGACGATGCTGGCGTCTCGTCCGTGCTGCATGCGTGCGGTGTGGGTTGACTCTCCCTCTGGTTTTCCTGATCTTATTTTCCTTTAGCACATTTTATGGTGCAGCTGGCGGCCACAGGAGGCGGCTGGCCCGGGGAGTGGCAGTCTTACGTGTTGTGGGGCACCCGGACACTGTTACCCAGGTCTGACACTGCGTCAAGGCACTTCAAAACAAGCGCGCCTTTTCAGAAATTACGGCATGTCGAGTTATTTGAATTGGTCATGTGAAAGGTTTTGGATGTACTTCTGAAGCTCTAGGAAGGTGTGCAGTTTTTGAACGTGGCCAGGGAAAGGTGAGCGCTGTGTAGGTGTCCAGAGGATGAAGCAGAAAGGAGCAACCTCTAATGAGTATTCTATAGTCAAATAGCACCTTAGAATCAGGAATACTTTTTTTTTAAAGTTACTCAGTTGTGAACCAGAGGCTGCAGCTTTCTGGCCAGACACAATGTCCTGGGCAGAGCCATTTCCTGTTATTCAAAGCGAGCTGTTTCACTTTGATACATTTGTTATGTTTTTGAGTATGTTTCTCTATTGCAGAGGTCAGGAATGCTTGACATAGGGCAAAAGGGTGGTTTCAAAATCCCTTGACAAGGTATGTGTGTCCCAAGTGCTATGTCATTCATCAGCTGATTTCATCTACCAATCACTAAATACAGTGTGATGTGGTAGATGGGATTAGGGACCAAGACAGAGAAGAGAGGAACTGCCAGCAAATGACAGGGTAACGCACAGCACCCTAAAGATTCAATAACAGCCAACTACAGAATGGCAAAATGGAAATGTGACAGATTTCACAACCAGCGAGATTCCCAGTCCACTCGAGTAACTAGGTTTGGAAAAAGGCAAAACAATACCCTGTGCCTCACTGTGGTCAATAAATCTATTCGTATTGGTTTTTATGGAGAGATTGTTCAAGCTCTTTGTTTTCTGTTCTTTTCCTCTTGATACCATAAACTAGGAGAAGTGGAGGGGAAACTAAGTGGTATAAAAAATGTGGTCCACATGAGGAGGTCTGCTGAACTAATCACTGAGCTTGTGGAATGGTTTGTTTTAATTTAGAAAGTATTCAGCAACAAAGCATAGAACAAGAGGACACAGAATTTGAAATCCAGTGCACTTAGACTAATAGTGCTTCCTCAGTATTCAATATAGAGCTTTGCTTCCAAATGCTCTCTGATTCAGGAGAGCAACAGCTTTGCTTGTCAATCAGGAAAACAGGCCATGAAAATGAAGTGGCACTAAGTACACTGTGCTTAAAATAGAATGCCTTTTGCTCGAGAATCTCAAAATAAAACAGAAGAGACTCACCCTTCACAATGCTCTGTAAAAGGTAGCAATATTATACTTCCCTCCCCTCCCCCAACAGGATCTGCAAGATTCTTGAAATATTTTTTATTAAACAAATATTTTTAAAAATCTCTGACTCTCAATAAATACTGCCTTATAAACAGCATATCCTGATTTAAGCAGTCTTTAAAAGATTTGCATGTGTTTTTTCTCCTCCCTTTTCTGTATTTGTGAGATTGTTTCCAGTGAGGGAAGAATGGGCTGGCACTGGCCACGATCTTTCAGTGCAAATGAGTAACTATGATGCCTGTGTTAAGCTCCACATACAGCAATTTGAGAATTAATCTGTATTTATAGAACAGTAACATTTATATGCCAAATGCCCTTCCAGGGGCAAGAAGAGCAACCAATAAGAAGACAAAATGTTTTTTTCTGGCTTCCTTAAAAATGAAACATACTCTTTTTTTTTAATTAACTGTGATTCTTCTTTCTCTGTGTGTGTGTATACACATTTTTGGGTCTGCCTTCTTATTCCAAATAATAAATTTCCTTGACCTATGTAAGTCAAAGTGAACATCAAGGGAGAGCTTTCAAAAGTAGTAAACTCCTACCAGGTATATGAAGGTGTGCAGAAAAGGAAAACCTTATTAAAGATGCTACTGAACTGTAACCTCAGCACATACTAGTTGATGTAGGACATATATAGAAATGGGTAATATGAATAATCATAGAGTGGCTTGGGTTGGAAGGGACCCTAAAGATCATCTAATCCAGCCTGCCTGCCATGGGCAGGGACACCTCTCGACTAGCTTACGCAATCAGTTGAAGATTTAAACTGCTTTCACATGTTATGAAGTATCAGGAAATGCAACCATAAGCCATAAAAGCGCTGCTCGTTTCACTTCTGGTGCTTTTGTGTTTTGCTATTATTTTGTCTCATATGACCAGGTTTTATTTGCTGTCCTCTGTTATACCTAGGTCTCTTTCAGGTTCACTCATTTCCTGGAAATTCCATGTGAGTTGACTTTGGAGAAATTTCTTCTTTGGGAGCATTGGACTGTGTCTTCTGTAGCATGACAGTCTGATGCTTCTGTTCCCTCTAGGTTGTTTTGCCTGTGTTTTTTCTTGTCTTTGGTATGTCTTTATTCTCCTAAGCTGGTACAGCTGCAGATTTCATTAACATTTTCTTAACTCTGTGGTTTTGGTCACATTATTTCATCTCTCAAAGACCATCCCTGGAGAATCTTAGGCAAATCACCACAAACTAAAACTTTATCTTTTGTTATTCTCTATTTAAGGCTCTGCAGACTATTTTAGATCTACTAGAAATGCCGTTCCTATGCCACCCCATCCTATCATGCCTCTCAAAGCCATTTTCAATTATTTTTTCATGCAGAGGCTTGGGTAACTTGCATAGTTAGTAAGAGTATGAATTTATAGCACAATAACGCTCGCTCGTCTCAATTCCTCCCACAGCACTATACCCAGTTCTTCCTACTGGTGTGGTGCATCTCATCAAGCCTGAGGGACAGCCAATGGCAAATGCTGGGCAACACCTCTAGGGAGGAATTAAGGGCATCCCGATATGACGCTTATTGTTGACACAGTGACAAGTAGCTTAGTTCAGCTTGTCTTCTAACACTGCTGGCATCTGGTAGCAATTAGAGTAGCTAATTCCATCAGCAGAGAGCCTACAGAAGCTGAGATTTATGCTGACCTCCAAGTTATTATATGTAGTATATTAAGACTGAGGAGGCAGACAGATGCATAAGCTTGAAGCCATAAACATCATTGCATGCAAAGTGCAGATGACTATGTGCAGCTTTTTTGGCTTCCTGAAAGTCACAAACTCACAATAACCGTAGCTTTTGGGGTGGGCCATGACATCTCTATAGACCGAGATTACTTCAGATGGGGGCCATGTGCTCAGAAGCTTAAGCCTGCATGGCATATATTCAAACTGACCCTCTCCCTCAGGCTTCTGTGCTTCAGATGGAGTCCTAGTTCACTGGTGAGATACAGAATAGCGAGAAATTATTAATCCTTTGTGACATTTTCTTCTTAGTAGACCCAAGCAGATTTCTTTTATGTGTAAGTATGACTGAATGTGTAGGAGAGAATTGATTTTGGCAGGAGCAGAGTGAAATGCAGGTGGGGGGAATCACTGGGAATGGAGAATTGCTTCCTTGGACAGACGACAGCACAAAAGAAATCACAGCAATAGAAAGGAGAGAAAGAAGAAAAAGGATCTGAGAGCAAGTAGGTTTTACAGAATAAAGTGAGAAAATGCATTCAGATCCCCAAAGGGAAGGAAAAGGTAATTCACCTGCAAAAACACCAGTTCAGCAGTGGCAGTTCAGAGTAACATATGCTTTTATTATTGCATAATTAGTGACTGCTGGATGTTTTAAAATGCACTCATGTCAAATAACCATCTTGTAACGTACTACTAAGTAGGTCTAAGTAGACCTTTATCTTTATAAGCTGCAATTTGAGATCAATCATTAGTCAGAAAGCACATAACCTACCCTATCTATACAGCCAGAGCAAGAACTGGAAAATAAGTGACAGGGCAATGTGGAATCAACAACCCGGCCAAAGTATGTGTGGCCTTGTGTCTCACGTGCTTCAGAGTTTGCTGGAGACTTACACACAACCGCCCCCACTCCTGAAATACTTGAAGATTAATGGAGATAGAGTTGGAAAAATATTGTAGCCATTTTACCTTATCTAAGGCTTTTTTGCCTTGCACAGTAAACTCGCTAGTGACGTGGTCTGAGTCTCTGTTGTGCTATGATACCTACAACAGCTCCATGAGTTGCTGAGGAAGGGGGGTGGATCCAGAATGATGGTTGACATTTATAATATTTAAAATACTGAAAACACATGGATACAAAATTGCATGCATCTGTAGCTTTTATCCTTACTCACATTCTGTGTCACTTTTCTTAAAGTGTAACCATTGGGTTAGGTGACTGCTGATTCCGTTTACCACTCAGTGGGGTGAGCTAACGTCCCTGATTTACAGTATGTGGAAATTAAATGAGAAATTTTGTAAGATAAGACAGAAAAAAAAGTTAAAAATAGTACAAAAGAACTTGATAGGTCTTAAACACTTCATATTTATTCTACATTAAATAAAACAATTTTGGTTCAGTTGAGAGACTGATGGGTCAGATAGAGGATACCAACACTTCTAAAGGAAGATATGTTCTGGTTAAGTGATCATTAAGTACATATGTATTAATTATGTTGTAGTAAAACCATATTCTGTTAAACAATTCTCAGGTGAATAAGATACATTATCGGAGGTATGTATTCCAAGGGTCTTATTGCACAGCTACTGGCTAATAAAGGTACTTTCAGTAAGAGAAAGATATGTTTTATACCACCAAGTACAAACTGACTGTCTCCTTGGGTTTATTACACAGCTTCTCCTCTTTCCTCATTAAAAAACAGAACACAATATCAAACAGAAAATAAAGCTGAACATTATAAAATGTGTGTCTTCAGTTCGTTTCATTTCAACCCCAAAGCAATCCATGCGTATTCTTTCTTTTCAGTAAGAGCAGGTAGAGAAAACAAAACAACAATTAAGAATCAAAAAAAAAAAAAAGGAAAAAAGAAAAAAACAAACCCCCCAACCACACATTTGTTCTGTCATTGCAAGAACTAAAATGCTGTAATTCTGCTAGCAATTTCCATGGCATGGGAGGAAACACTGTGGACGGAGTCTCACTTCCTCTCAGTTTTGTCTGCTTGCACTTCACGCATATATGACCCAATGATATGCGGAGGCACTCCATCCATCAGCAGTCTGAAGAACGAAAGCCCACCTGCAAACAAGGAATAAGACAACATTCAGATTTAGGTTGAAAATCCCTACAGGAACAACTCTGTAGCTTTATTTTCTGATGTAAGCAACTAAGATTTAGTCAGTCCCTACTGCATACTTTATTTTGAGATGTCATAAAATTCATCCCTGTTCAAAAGTCTGGCACGAGAATTAACCATTGTTTAATCTCTGTGCTATACAGAACTTGCCTGTCCTCTTTCACAGGGTGAATTTCTTCTTTAGGGTGTCATATATTCATTTATCTTACCCCATGCAATAGTCTATTGAAAGCTTCAGCTCAAGTAGCCCTCCTAGATTTCCATCAGGCTGGGTGGAGTATAGTCAGAGATGGAAGTCAGCCCAGAGGGAACAATGTAGAAAACAATTGACTATGATGAGTGGTAGAAAACATGCAGAGACATTCCAGTTATTCTAGTGTTGGGTCTTATAATGGTTTATAAGTATTTAGCAAAATATTTACCATGTTGCTTGAAAATAACAGGTGAGATGACATATGTAAAAGAATCACATTAAAAAAGAAGGACTTTAGACAGAGGTGCCTTTAGACTGCAGAGAGAGGTGATGAAAGTCAAAACTTTCATCTGTGGGGAAGTCTGAAGATTTATTTTGGATTAGCTTTTGAATAAAAAATAGACCACATCAAGTCACCTGAAATTCAGGTGTTTATCCCCTGGTAGCTCTGGAGTTTTCCCAGGGCTTGAAGATACTGGTATGTGATCTCAAAGGACAGACTTACTCCACACTTGTGGCCAGCATCTTCCTTAGCTGCAGCAGTGAGTGTCCATGCTCACAAGTCCTGCTGACAAATTGGGGCCTGTTGTATTCAGCGCTTCCTCCAGCCCTGCCAAAACTTAGTTTCTTGTCTCTGTGAAACTGTTTTTATTTCTTTCCCCGCCCTAATTTTCTGCTTTTATGATGACTGGATAGTTGGAGACAATTTTCACCGAACAGGTATTAGAAGTACCATTCCTAGCCTTTGTGCTTTATGACTGTGGCTTAAACAGCATGAGTAAAAAAACTGAACCAAACCTGTTTTAAATCACTGCTATAACAGAAACTTGGGCTTACAAGAAAGCCATTGGAAGTACTCAATTTTTTCTTTAGTGTTCTGGAAAAAGGGATAAGGCAAAAGATTTTTGAAGACCGTTTAATAACTTTAGCAACCCAAGACAAAATATTTCTTTCAGTGTCCAGAAAAATATGTATGTAGTGTCTAACAGACCATCTGGAGAACCCCAGGACCTACTGATGTGGAAGCAGTAATTTAATACCAATGATCCAAATTACAAGTAAAATTTCATGCCGTTGATAAAAAATGTCATGGAAACTAAGCACATGGGTGTTTCTGTTAATTTCATTGAAATTAAATGACATTTGGAAGTAACAGTGGGAAAAGAGATAAATATTTTGCTAAAAACCTCAGAGTCTGCCCTTTGTCAAGGTGAAGGGTAGTATTTGTTGTAAGAAATTTATGTATCATTACTATTCCTTATAGAAACCTGCACAAGTGTTCTGTTCTGCAAATTGCAAAACTATCCACTGCACTTACCTTCTGAGCCTTTTCTGGAACACACCAAAAGCTTTAAAGCAAAAGTACATTGCCAGGATGAAGATATGACTGTCTGAATGCTTCAGCTAAATGCAGCTGAGCTGATACTTATATACAGCATTTATCCTGAGTACAGATTTTAGGAACTTAGCACCTTTATTAACACAAGGATTATCCAATTAAAGTGCTATTAGTTACTAGTGATTACGAGACTGAATGATCTTATTTGACACTGTCATTGTTGCAGAACTGTTCACTCCCGACATGAGGTGGATGCACAATACAGACAAAAAAAAGAAACAAGCATGCTTTTTAGCATTCTTTTCAGCATTCTTTTCAGCATTCTTTTCAACTCATGTAGTGCAAGTTGTGATATGAATAATTCGTTTTGAAATGAAATTACCTGTGGAATAAATATTTCATTTATGTAGAGGTATATTCCTATATGAAAAGAACTGACCATAGATGCAAAATGTTCTTTTATTACTTGCATTTTATTCAAGCTAATTAATCATGCTAAGTCATGCATTATTAATTTCCTTTGAAACATGCACTATTAGAAGATAGTGGGATATACTACTAAGAGGAATTACTGTAACAAGCAGTTATTATTAAAAATTCTGGATTTATATACGTTAAAAATATCCTGCTACTCATTTGAAAAAACATTTTCATTAAGTGAAATAATGAAAATCATGCCATACTAGGCAGACGTTGTATGACGTGTAAACAGACATAAGCTTCATATGCAAGAGTCATATGAAAGCTTACCTTAGGTGACAATATACATTCAAAATTCCTTACTGTGTAACTAAGGGAGAGAGAGAAAGAAAAGTAACAATTTAATCGGAAACACAAAAGTAGAGAGAAAATTTTGAGTGAAATTATATTTGTAATTATGTCAAGAAGATGTTTTAATCCTTAGTCATGTAAAATACATAGGAATAGAAGCACATGAAGAGTAAATGGTAGGGATCCAGTTCCACTTCAAAATTGTCATTAATATGTAAAAGCTATATTAATATGTACAAGTAACTATAACTCCTGTAATTAGTCTAAAGTATAGATTGGAACCAAATTATGCAACTGACATTTATGATAAAAGTTTCAAATGTAGCTTCAAAGAAGCTAACAAACATATATATATATAGTATTTTCCACCAGGGAAAAAAAGCACACGCATAACACTGAAGCGTATATATATATATATGTTGAAACTGTATAAGGCAAAATAATCAAGTAACAGACTAATTACATACCTGTACACTAAAGTATGTACTTTGTCACATATCCACGTTTACATTACTGAAAGCATGCTATTTACTCTATAGGAGCCCTTGTGTTTAATTAAACATTTTGACACTATTAACCACTCATATATATGTACATTTATATATGTCTATGTATATAACAGCTCTCAACTTTGTACTATTGTAGCCTTTTAAGAAAAATACCTCTAAAAAAATTACTTCAAAAACTACAGGAACATTATCTAGCCTTATTTCTTGACATGTTTTAGGTTTGAAGTAGTAAATTTGTATGCATAATGTACTTCAGACTGATTTCTCAACACCTCTGTTATTTTAAAAACTCACTGTCACTAATCTGGATTTGGGCAAGGATACAAGCAAACAGATTTCTATAGAAAAACAAATTCTTTAAATGTCACTGAACCTGAATTTGAAATGAGTTCTAGAAGAAGTGAAGTAAAACCATATGCTTATAAGTAAAACATTTTCACTAATTTCAGCTGGATTGAGATTTCATCCTTAGGTGCTGTACGTTAAGGACAATCATGGGTTATCATTCTGAGCACTAACTTGTATCCAACAACTGATGTGTAATAAATAATTACACATTAAGTGTAATTAAGTGCCTTTTAAGTACAGCATATGACTTTACAATATTTCTGTTCTTTCAGTAGTGCTACAAACTAACTGAGAGTTGTTTTTTTGAGATGCAAATTCTGCCTCCTGGAAAGATGTAAGTGTTCTGGTCAAAGGTAGTCACAGTCATTAAATAAATTCTTTATAGGTACAGGTAGCTCTATACACAGTGGCAAATCAGAAATATGTCTGAAACCTTTGTAACTCTGATGTTAAATACCCTTATTCTTGATTAATTTGGCCTTCTTTGCTCATGTGACATAGACACTGTATGCCATGAGACACTAGCTAGTTTAATCTAAAAAAGCAAATAAATACACACTTTGCATGCAGAAAATGCGTTTGCATGTGGAAAAAGAGGAAGGGAATGGGAATGGAATGTCCAGAGGAGTATGCTTATTATAAACCTGATTATTCCCCGCCAAGAAGATGGGTTCTCCTGGGTTAATTACTCCATGATATATCACTGCAGAATTAGAATATTTATAGTGGTATTTATTCGCATTTGAAATTCTTTCCAGTTGATCTTAACATCTTTCAAAAAAAAAAAAACCCTCTCATACAGCATCTTCTGTAACATCAACCTATTACAGTGATCCCCAACCTTGATTCTGCTCTCAAGATAAACATTCTCCAAACCCATTTATTTCATGATAAAATAAACATGACACTTTATCTGCGTCTTTCCATTGACCTTGGTGAAACTGGTTCCTCAGTAAGGAACCTCAGTTCCTTACTGCCTATAATGGGAAATCTACAGTCATATTTAGGGAGCTACCTCAGCAAACTTAAAAGGTAGGTACCTTATTTTCCATAGTAAGATGAGTACGAAATGTGTATGGTGAAATTCTGCATGATGTAGAAGATGCATCATCTTTCAAGATATATGGAGACATTCTTTTCTCTATGATCTATTACATGACTTTTTACACCACACATATTTACAAAAAAACCCCCATTGTATGTGCAGTTGTACCGAGCAGCTCATATGACTGCCATCTTTAAGATCACTCAACAAAACTTAAAACAGAATGAGGTACTATCTATCTGAAATAAGATCAGTACATGAAAAACCTTTTTGTGAAGACAGAATAAGGTTTTATTATTTTTACTATTGTGCTCCTAGCTATCACTAGATTTTTTTTCAGGAAATGACCATTGAATTAAGTAAAAATTAAGGGGGATGTGTGTTAATTTTACACCTAAAATAATGTAAGCAAATGGCTAAAAAAGTAGAAAATTGTAGCATAGTGATAGTATTAATAGCTAGAGTATTCATAGCTATTCAGTTGTTCAAACAGTATGCAAAATTGGAAATCCTAGACTGTTGTTTGAGTAGTTCTTTGAGATTTATAGAACCAAGCATGCATATATGTGTATATGCGTGATAAATTTCAGAGTTCCAATATGTCAGAAATATATGGATAAAAGAAATTCTAGCCAACATAAGGAAAATTCACTTGCTACAATATATACTGTTGCATGGGATAGAGGTCTTTAGAGATCTTTGGGTAGTTAAGTCATGCTAATAACAGTACTGCAGCTAGTATGTTCACGAGGTAGGTAGCATAGCCTTGAGCCTGTTGGTCTTATTCAGGCAACATTCAACTGTATCTCATGATTTTACAAATCCAGAACCTGATTGTTGCTTGCTGGAATAAAGCTGAATGAGTTTAAAGCAATACATATGAAAAGACAAACACACTGCAATCCATTTCCAGCGAGTCAGAAATCCGTAAGCCTTTGCTCTGCATCAGTCTGATCAGCAGTTATCTGAAGGGCCCTCCTGAATGAACAAACAGGCTGGGAAACATCAGAGAATGATAATTCAACATGTAAGTCAATAGAAGAGTGAAATAAGATGTAATTAGATGTAATTATATTTTTATGCGCCAACCTTTGATATTCATTTGCATTTGTCTATATCATATAGCAAACCTATCATACAGCCTACCCTGGTTTGCCAAGCTACAGCTGCTGTATTCACTTGATCCTATTCCCTTTGAATTCATCAGTTGAACTGCCAGTCATATTAAGAGTGTCAGCACTGAACCCTTACAGCAGCTGTCCTAATTCTAAGCTCTATAAATCACTTGTCTAAGCAGGCTCCAAAAAGGAGTCAAAAGTAATGGCTAAACCTGCCAGGATAGAGAGAGGAATCAGAGCAAGGGTGACCCCTCACAGCCCAAACTATTGGAAGGGAACTACAATACCAAGTTTGGTGGGAGGGACTGGGACTGCACAAGGTGGTGGTTGATATGAAATTGGTTTCAAAAACCAACCATTAACTAGGGGAGGTAGGATTTAGATTAATGAACTAGCCCATCACATAGCTAAGAGAGAAACAATACACAGCCCAGGTGGGATTCTGACAACTTGCATTTTTCAGTATTTCTTCCAGGTATGATGCAAAGCTGATCTTTTAAAGTAAATATTACTTTCTTTGGGAAGAAGGAAAGCTTTTTGAGTCTCAAAATGTCTGTGCTGCAAGCCATTCAGTGGGTGTGAGAGGTTTTGCTTAAAAGTGGGGAAGTATGAACTAAATCTTGTTTTAATCTAATTCATACAACCTCATTATTACAGTAGCAAAGGTATGTTCAACTGGAACCCCAAGATAAGGTGCCAGAGAAATTGAGGCTGTGGACGTGTTGCAACCAGCTAATAGGGTGATCAGTACAACTTTCGGGACATGATGCAAAGTCCATGTGTCTATCCAGGGTTTCCCATGGCATCAGTGATCAGAGGGATACTTGAATCTGATCAAAGTGCTAGGGTATTTTGTAATGTTAAGAACTTGGTCAAAATCTCAGACTCACAGAGCTAGAAGTAATCTTGAGATGTCATTTAGTGCACTGTCATTCTTCTAAGCTGCTCTTAAAGGCACAAAAGCTCTTAAACACTTTTGGTTACGAAAGGCTCTACAATCTCTGCAGGAAATCTGCTGCTCTGACTGTTGTCTACCCTAAAGGAAAGTTAACTAAACATTTGTCAGTAAAAATCATCAGGGACATAATCTCAGCTGTACATAGTGACCTCTTTAATGAACAGGACTGTGGCTTCTTTTCCTAGATACATTACTTCTACTTGACTGGAAAAGGATCTAAGCATTCCCAGCCAATTTAAGATACTTGTCCATAAATGTCCATAATGACTTCTATAGGGATTAAATTCCCCATGAGTGTTGATCAAAAGCAAAAATCTCTCCACACCACCTCTTTCTTACAGACTAACACAGAGCAGCTTCCACTGCTGGTGAATAAATTCTTGGAAACTGCTGCATAGCAAAAGAGAGCCTGAATGGTGGGATGGTATTTGCATTACACTTCAAAACCAGCAAACAAATTCATCCTGATATTCAATGAAAAAAAATTCCAAGATCAACAGAAGCATCTATATTTCACAACAGCTGGGAAGGGAACTAGTGAAGAATAATATGTAATCCTTGGCAACATTCGAAGTTTGGACTTTCTAAAATTGAGAGATAGTAGTTAAAATATTTCTTGTCTTAAAAATGTTTTGTAGTATTTTGCACATTATATATAAAAACTTCTTTATAAAACAAAGGACAGAAATAAACATCTTCTTGTATTTAAAATGTAGGGTTTGGTTGTATTACAAGCACAATGCTGAAAATGAAAGTTGCAAATGACTGTAAACATGCACGAGAACTTTAGGGCTTGGAGACTTAGGAAACCTAATGAAATAGCAAACTGACTTGGCCTTTCAGCATAAAAAAAATAGATAAAACAACCTTCTCCGGTGATGAGGTCTTCTGTTATGCTGTGAAATAGAAAGTTTGCTTATGATAAGGAAAATAATCATACATCCAGGTTGAGGACACCACCTTTTTTTTTTAAACACAGTACCTTAAAAATAAATAATGAAAATTAAGAAACATATTATGCATATTTTCATTACATTAGTTAAATATTCAATGTCATAGGCCAAACATTTATTGTGATGGCTTCTTGCTGGCAGATTTAAGTTGTTGGACAAGATAGAAAATACAGAAAATAGAAATCAAAATCTAAAACAAACACACTACAATCCATAAGGATATTAAATATTATGGTTTTCATTATAGATTGGCATGATGGAAATAATATCACTAGAGCCATATCCAGCTAGCCTAAATTCCCTCTTAAGTTCCTGAGGTAGACATTTCCTATAAGATGGCTTTAGGCAGCTTTCCTTACTTATAACCTCAGATTATTTTATTTTTCCAGAAATACTTAGCTTATTACACAGTTGAAACAAAAGCCTTTGATGGGAGTTAGTCCATATGACCCCATCTTTTCCTAGGAAGAAATTTTCTAAAACATATGGTCCTGACATTATTCATCAGTAGTCCAATCCAAATCCTATTGCTATTCATGATATCTCGGTCAATGCTAAACTACCTGGAATTAATACAATTTATCTATTAATGAAAATAATTGTATGTCTTCCATTGTAGAAGGCTAAGCTACTATGTCCTCTCCCTGTATTTGCAAAATCCATAGTTTTGAATACTGTGTTCTTAAAACAAATACACCAGTTATATCAAGCAGCTTTTTTCCTTGGGAACAGTATTGCTTTTTCCTACATTATTTTGCTAACAAACTTCCTTGGAAGCCAATGTTTGATCTGCTTAATGATGAAGGCAGATGAAGTCTGCCCTGAACCACCTTTCTCCCTTCTCCCCTTGCAATTTCCTACAGCGACCTCTCTGTTATCCAAGACGATTTTTGTCATGTTTTCCCAAACAGCTCTATGGTTGACCCTTACTAGAATTTGTCAGGTGAGTGGCATAGTTCTGAGAGTGGCAGTCTACCAATTTGTCACTTGTGAAGAAGTCCTGGCAATCACTGAAGATCTGAATCGGCATGGGAGGGACAAAGACAACATAGTGTAAACACAGTCCTCAAAAACAAACAAAGCAACTCGTATAGTTTATTTTGTCCTACGTTGTTATTTTCAACCAGGAAAATGTAAAAAGTTGTTCAAACTCCCTTCTTCATTTGTCTTGCATACTTTTGACTCCTATGTAGACAGTGTTCAAAAAAACCAGGGCATTTTCAATGTTTTAAACCCCTTTACCTTTTACTTCCAGTTTGCAATCAACTTCTGCCTCTCCAAGTGCATTGACTGCTCGGCAGCTGTAAGTGCCTCCATCGTAGGGACTGGGTTTACGGATCTCCAAGGTACAGACACCTTGGTTGCTGAACATTCTGTACTTGGGGTCGTTCATTATAACAACTTTGTTTTTCAGCCAGGTTATTTTGGGCTGTGGTAAAAACAAAAGAAAACCTTCATACACAAACCTATGAACTGAAATATTTTACCACTTCTTGTGACATTAAAATTGAGTAACCCCCAAAATAAGATGAAATAGATAAAGTACTGACAGAAAGGAAACTAATTCTTAACTCAAATGTAAACATGGGCTACATTATGCGTCTGTTTTTAGGCAAAACTTTTTCAATGCAGCTCCTATTAGATAATTAAGGCCATAAATGCAGGTGTGTTATTGGTATAAGAGGTGCTGTGTGATGACAGCAAACATCTGAGCAATAGGTTTTGACATCTGGTTACTATAATTTAATAAGAAAAGCATGTTTTTTCACAGTAATTTTCATAGTCCGAAACTGTGAAGGTGAAGAGTGACAGCAAACATGTTCTTAAACATTCCCAAGTTCTCATTTTACTAAGGCAGTTCAGTTGCTCACAACAGAAAATAGATTACAAAAAGACACAACTCAAGAAACTAAAGGATTAATTTCATATGGAGTCTGAGAACCAATGCGGTTCCCAGAATATTCCTGCGATGCACTTACTTAAAGCATAAAGCATAATTAGCTTTTTATAGAATAATCATGGCTTTATTTTAGTAACAACCTTTACTGATGTATTAACTGTACAGCTGTTATCCGTGCCAGTGCCAGTATAGCCCAGTGTTTTCCTGAGGTTCTGACCTTTGTGTTATCTGTGGATTTAGTAACTGTAATGCAGATGTACTGCCTGTAACACAGTAAAGTAGGTCCATTTTCATATTCTTTAGAGCCCATGCCACACTTTTTTCCCTCAGCCTGACTTGTGAGACAAATGGTAAAGATGGTATTACAGTTTTTAGTGTCAGGTTAAATTCTCCCATGTTTTAACTGATACTGTTATGAGCTATGCTGTACCTTGGGGTTGCCCCGAACACTGCAGTTCAAAGTGGCGTTGTAACCAGCTACAGCAAACGTGTTGACTAGAGGCTGAGTAAACAACGGCCGTTCAGTGAAGTCAAAGTCATCGTAAACTGGATATTTGTAGACTTTACCTATTAAATGAAAATAAAACATTTATAAAAAGAGTGTTGGAATGTAGCTAAATAGCCAAGCATCTTAAACGGTGACAAAGTCATTTCTCATCTGCGCTGCTTTTGGTACCAGTAGGACTCTAATAGTTGCATTTGTAGAGGAGGCTGGAAGTGAGCCTGTGAAGTGACTGTAGCCCGTGGTCATGCTATAGCTTAGATATCTGTCTGAGAGCTTCTCTTTGTTTCCTGGGTAGGTCATATACAAAATAATACACATTTATTCTGTCTTTGCCTTCATACCCTGCATGTTACAGAACAGGATGGATCCTGGCTGATGTACTGTGGGATGCCTGGCACGCCAGCCTTGTTCTCTATTGCCATTTACTTTTCACAGTTTGTTCTGATTACAAACTGGCTCTGTATCTAAAAATCCATTTTTCTTTCTGCTTCATACAGTGCACTAACAGATAAAATGCACATGCAGATACCTGAGTGAATGTAGCTTCTGCACAAGAAAGTCACAGTGGTGAAATCTAGTTTCTCACTGCCACTTTATCCCTGCACTGCAGTGGAGTTTACCATCAATTAATTATCTTCACCCACAAACTAAGCTGCCATTTAAAACAGCTGGACAGACTGACATCTGCTTCTGTGCCAACTTATCATTAAACATCTTTGCTTCACTGAAACCTTATCCAAGCTCTCTCATACTGACTTCGGTGCAGCTTAGACCTGTTATTTGCTCTCATGACAAGGCAAGCTGTGATGAAAAGCAATTTCTGTAGCTTTTTTTTTTTTTTTTTGGTTCATCATCCCATTTCAAAAAGAGGGGTAGTTTTCTTTTTAGTAATGGAACTGTGGTCTGGTGGCCTAGACCTTCAGTCCTTCAACCTGTCTGTGTGGGTTCCACCAGTCATCTGTCCCCTATATCATGGAAAACATATTCCTTCCTTTCAGAGAAACAGGTGATTTAGTTTGATTTTCTTCCCTTAAACTACCTGTTTGTAGAATTTCCCTTCCACAAAGGGGCAGGTTTTTGTTTGTTTAAGGTTACAGTACCATTTCAAACTGACAATTTCTGAAATGTCAGGATTTCTGACCACAGAATCGGAATTTGTCCAACTCCACCTGCAAGAGACCTGAAGCAGTGGTTGTGCTTATCAGTTGGATCCTGCTTGAAATGGGTGGGAGCAATTGCACAGCTGCTGCTGAGTCTCCACTAGGAGGCAGTGGCCCCAGTGTTCACTGAGCAGAACAGATGCTTTACTCCTCTTCCAGCTCCTCTGGACTCAGATCTGGCAGTGGTGACACTAATCTGAGATCCAAGATCATAGAAAATGTCAGAACATGGGGAAAATGTCCCACTTTGATTTAAAAAAAAAAAATAAAAATCTACTAACTATGTAGACAAACCAAGAAGTCTTATTGTTGAATGTACCTGGTGTGGGGGCTAGGAATGCACCTGAATGCTTTAGAGATACAGCCTCTACCTCTCATCCTCTTCCAGCCTCGAACACACCCATTCCCTTTTGGCAAGGGGTGGATAATTAACTCACCATCCTTTGCAATCAAAGCGCTCTCTTTGGTCATGGTTGCATCCTCGCTGAGGCCACACATGTTTTCAGCAAAGATGCGGAAGTAGTACTCGTTCCCTATGACGAGCTCGTTGATGGTGGCACTGGTGCGGTGGTAGTGCTCCATTACTGTGAACCATTCCTGAGACACAAACACAGCACATAAGCTGCCCAGCAGCACCCTGCAGCTCTCACCCCTTAGCTGTTTGAAGGTACCAGCAGACTTGTGGTAGCACGGTTTTTCTTTTAAGGGAATGTTAATGAGTTCTACAGTAGTGAAGCTAGCAGTGAAATGAGTGATAATGAGAATAGCACAGAGCTCACTGCTGAGCAGTGAAGGCCAAATGGAAATTGAATTGTTACACCCTGTTGGCTGGCAGGGTTTGTTTTAGGACATCAAGTATTACGAAAGTTGCATTGTGTGAGGCGAGGTGGGCTCCTTCTTTCCTAGTCCATGCTGCTGACAAGAGAAGGTACTGCTGCAGATAAGAAAACTGCAGGCTGGAGGGGAAGAGTAGGAGCATGTACTAGTCTGCAGTAACATCTGGCCTCACAAGAGGCCAATGCACTAATCTACCCTCTGTTCCACAGGATGGGTGTTCATGAGAAATGTAGTTTTATGCAGGTGGTCCTCTCATATCTGAAGGCTCAGATGGAGAGGTGGGTTTTAGTGCTTTAGTCTTGTAGCAGTAACAGGACATACGAATTCTATCCCAGTGCACAGTACCTAAGTAACAAACTGAAATCAAAGGTGTTAATACCAAAAAAACGCAATTAATATAAAGTTCAATATGACCACAGCAATGCTTTTGCTTTTCTTTACTGTGCCCCACATAATTTTCTTGCTTTTCTGAAGATGAATTTGTGCTGAGTTCCTTGTGCCACAGTTCGTGTTAATATTTGGTCATCATTAAGCTCCAAAGTACCTTGTGGGAAAACAGTTTTCTGTAGAAGGCTAGCTCTGCCAGAATTGCAAAATTCATCACCACAGAGAGTGTGGGGAACTATGACCTTAATGATCCATGACATGCTGAACCCTGGACACTGTTGTAGCTTTCTCCTTAACACAGTAATTTAGAAACAGGGGACATCATTGTTCTGAACGCTATGCAGAGACCATCTCTTCTTACAGTCTGAAGAGAAAGAAACAGTGAAGGGAAACACTGGCACAGGAAGAATGAATTGATCAGACTATGAAGCAGATCAACATATTAAAGGAAGGAGTGTCAGGTGGGAGGTGTGGGGTGGAAAGAAGATCCTCTTAGGAAACCCTCAGTATTTTGGCCGATTCCTGAAATCCTGTCTAGATTTCCAGTGTTTAAATTTGCAGTGAATGTTAAATGTATGAATACAGCTACTGTCTTTTAAGGAAGTGTAAAATCTGTGTTAGTTTATTGAAAAAAAACCCAAACATCTCTACATTGCACTTTTCTTCAGTAGATCTCAAAGCACTTTACAAATTAACTATGTACCATGTAAGGAGTGGCAGTGATTTACCCAACGTGACATTACGGGTTTGAAAACAACAGCACTACACTTTAATTCTAGCAGCAATCTACTGACTTCAGAATTAATATTTTGGGTGGTTATTTTCTCTAATGAGACAAGAAAAAAAAAGCAGAATTACTTCCCTTAAATCTGCCTGTCCTTTCCTTTTTATTCCTCCTCTTTGGCATCATCTGAAAACATTCCCATCTCTAGGCTTTAGATACAGTGAAAAGGGGATTTTTAGAATTTTTAGAGATGCCTTTAAGATTTTCTTAATGCTGACTAATCAATGCTTTGTCCACCTACGTCAGTTTAAGTATGTAACGTTTTTTATTTTGAAAAGGGAAAATTCATAAGTACATCAGCCTTTTCAACATCTCCTTATGACTTACCATGCTCTTCTTGTCTGCTTTTTGAATAGTGTACCCAGTAATGGCAGAGTTACCATCATCTTTTGGTGGCTTCCATGATAAATTTACATTCTCTCCCCAGACATCCTCAATAGTTACAATCTCTGGTGGGCCTGGGCGGTCTGTAATGAAAATATGGGAGCTGACATTTTCCACTGTTTGCTTTGTGTCTCTCTCTTTCTCTCTCCCTTTCTCTCTCTCTCTCTCTCTCTTTCTCTCTCCCCTACACACATTGTCCACTTAGTTTGATTTTTCTTTCTCTTTTTTACAACATGCACATGCCAAAACTAGCGTCAGAAGAAGGCGAAGGTTGCAAAATAAAACTTTCCAAAGTTAAAGAACAATATTTTGGAAAAGTCAAAACCAGCTGAAGATGTGTTCCTAAAAGACAAAGTCAGACAATTATTATAAATGCTGTGCTACTAGTTTTGCCTATTATATAAAGAGAAAGACTGATAAAAATGAAAAGCAAATGTATTTTCTTGTCTGTCTTTCCTACTTTCACATATTTTCAACATTTAGGGTTTCTTCCACATTACACTTCTGACAAGGTAACTATGAATTTACTGCCTTTTCTCACTATGGGAAGAACATGAAAGGCGTAACAGCGGAAGAAAGAGACACATGTTCCAACAAGCACCTGGCACTTTCTGGGGAGGTTTACTTAGAGACTACAAATCTACAGACAAGTAATTGGATGTTGTGCGTTATCACTGTTGAGAACGATGTTCTTTGGGATTCCTCTGTTCTCCTATAAACTTAAAGTGTCTAGTGTCTGCTTCTCTGGCATGTATTTATTTCTGTTTCTCACAACATACCAACAATCTGAATATCTATTGTAGCTTTGTCCTCCAAGTTCTCTACTTCCACTTTCATGTCATATTCTCCAGAGTGGCTCCTTTCTGCCTTCCGGATGAAGATGATAGTGTCATTTTCGGTGTTGCGGATATTGATTTGATTCTTGTCAATTGGAGAACCATTTTTGTGCCATGAGACTTTTGCCCGTGGTCTTCCCTATAAGAAGACAGGAAACAATTTGTGTATGATTTTGGGAGAGAAGATGGATTTATTTTCCGTTTTTCCTGAATGGTAGGAAAAAAAAATAAAGGTTCTGAGAGAAACTGAGATTTTTTTGTAAATTATACAGCATTTGAGAGGCAATCATATGAATTCACCTAAAATGCATCTTTCTTTCCTGTTTTTTGTTTTTAGTGGTTGGTCATTTGGTTGGGTTTTTTGTTTTGTTTTGTGTTTGGTTTTTTTAGTTTTTTTTCAGAGTTTTTTTTTAGTTTTTTTTTCAGGGTTTATTTTAGTTTTTTTTTGTTTGTTTGTTTCCTGGTTTGGTTTGTTTAATTTCCAGTTTTGAAAAAAAAAAAAAAGGTGAAGAAAAATCCAGGTAATGCAAACCAAAATATTTCATCCTCTGGAAGTGCCTACATTCTCTATTCTGACAGTGAAAGAGGAAAGTAGTGGACTAAACTTCCATAGATCCCAAAATCTCATATTTCATTGCAAGAGCAGTTGGAATACTTGTTAGGTAGGGTGGATTTACGTCTTTAGTGTGTCATTTTTGCGGGCCTAGTAGTGCCTAATTTAGGTACTTAAATCAAAGTGGGTTACACCTGCTTTACCATGGGGTTTGTCTTCCAGAGGCAGACAGTTTGCAGATGTTGTCTGAAAATGGTAATCTCACACCTTTTTTGAATGCTTTCTCTTAGAAAATAACCACAGAATATTCCTCTAATTTCTCAAGAGCAGTGTATCTTGCAGTATATTGCTGATCAAGCTTTTATTAGGCTTTTAACAGCCTTGTAGAATGAAGGTTATACCCACTCTGTATCTTTAGGTGTGCACACAGGAAAAAGAAATAATTTCTGCCATAATTCTTGTATTCAGAAGAATAAAGGCTGTGCAGGTAGAGAGGTGGTCACTGTTGTAAAAAGTGTGGGAATAAAGGTTAACACAATGCGGTGGGAAAATATTATCTCTTTAGTTATAAGGATAGAACATATAGCTGTGATCTCAAGGTTTTAAAAGTTGTCATATCTGTAGGAGACAGTGAAACTCTGTCCATTCTTTCCCTCACTTTTCCTCTCTCACAACAAGAAAATGATGAAGTGCTACAGTCCCATCCTTACCATATCTAACTACTGTCAGTGTAACCATCTTGCATTGTGCTAGCAATTATCGCCCAGGTAATGTCTACTGTGAGGATTTATAAGTCTGCTTTGGATGACAGATGACAAATCAGTTTGTTGAAGCTAGTTACTCAATTCATTAATTAGCTTAACATAATTTCTTAGAGGCACCAAAGCAAAAGCTTTCAAGCACCTATGTACTTCAGTGTGCTTCCACATCTGCTGAGGTTATCTCACTGGCCTACCAAAGTTACATAGAAATAATAGTGTCAGAAAATTAGAGTATTTCCCTGACATTGTGTTTTGCTCTTACCTGGAAAGGAATAACGAGATTCACAGTTTCTCCAACTCTTCGAGTATAGGTTTGTTTTAAGTGTCTTGGTAGACGAATCTTTGGTGGTTCTGAAAAAAGCCCAAAGCTTGTTTTTGACATTTATCTTCTTTGCTAACTGAGGTGGCAAACTTGTGGCACCATTATAAGTAGGAAAATGTGTGGTCTACAATTCCCCGAAGTGACTAATGAGTGGTTAAATTCCTTGCTCCCACAATGTTACATTCAGTACACTGTTGATTTTTGTAACTCCAAATGCTATGGTAGCAGGAATAGGTGAGAAACTTAGCACAACTATAAAAGAGAACAACACCAAGTTCAAGTTCTGCGGAAAAAAAAGCCTTGAAAGCCTGAGCAATAATGGCTCAGAAATTAAACAATTAAAAAGAATTACAAGTATTTTTAGAGACTGTTTCATGATTTCTAGTCTCTGCACCATGGCTTTGTAAAGCTATATCATCAGTTTCCAACAAGTAAATATTTAGCCTTAAAAAAAAAACCAAACAGAACAAAGTATGGAAGCAGAGTGTATTTGTGGGTGAACATAGGCAGGAAGATCTTACCTATCACTTCTTTGACTAAAATAGGCTGTGGGTGGTACCTGGGCTCACTTTCACCAGCAGCATTCACAGCTTTTACTCTCACAAGGATTTTCGAGCCAGTTGGCAGGCCATTGATAGTAAACTTCGTTTTGTCTGTCAGCTCCGGGTTGGCGACGATCCATTCATCAGCTATTTTAGAACAGAGTAGAGGAAGATGAATCGAAAGAACAGGGAATTATAAATACATCCACTGCACAGATGAGGAAGACTGCAGAATGATAATAGACTCATTATATTGCAATGAATATGTCTGTTTTGTTTTTCTAATTATGCTATAACTTGATGTTGATTCACTTTCATACATAGGAAGAATGTTTCAAATTTTAAAGGGTTTCTGCTTATTATATATTTATGGTTAGAGAAATAAATGTTTTTAGAATGTCTCTATCATTTAATTGTACCAGAAGAAGACTAATTAGTTTTTAAATTCAGCTGATAGAAAGCAAGGGAGACATAGAGTATATTTCCAAAAGTGCTCATCATTGCTTTGACATATTCTTTGGAGAGAAAAGGGGTTTACAATTAATTTCAACCAGTACTGAGTATCCTTTAAAGTACCACTGAGAATGCAGGGGTGAGAGAAACAAGGAACAAATTGCAATGAAATGCCATCTCTCTTCGTCCCTTTAAAAAAGGAAGGCTGTGTCAGAATTATTCACATAATTATAGCATTCTTGGATTTTTTATCTTACACCTAGGCAGTCACATGTGATCCATAGAATGATTGTAACAGTGAAGTCTTTCAGAAAAGCTTCAGTTATAAATGACACTTTCTTTTCTACCCTGTCTTCCAAACATAGATTGCTTTAATACTGCTGGAACCTTGACATTTGGAGTCAGATTTAAGCAGTAGCAAGTCTGTATCAGTACTTTCCTTATCATATAAAGATAGCATTATAAAATTGGCATGGAAGACATAAAAACTATTGTAAAGAAGAGAACCCTGCAGACTTACAGGGCAATACTCTGCTACATTTTCGTAACTGTGTGTCTTACTTTTAAGAATTAAGTTCTTCAAGCTGCTTCTCTCAGCTTCTAGCAGAAGGATTGCAATCAATGACCACTTCCTGAGCACCTCCCCCTCCCTTTACACATGCACTACAGTAAATTCTGTAGACTGTTGCCCCTAAAATTCACTCCCAGAAATTTATCTTTACTTCAATGAAGAGAGTTTTCTTTCATTAAAGAAGATGTATGTCCTTTGTTGAATACTATACCTTTCGTGTTAAAAGGTGGCTCCACCACTTCCTCAGACAGATCTGTCGATATACCTTGTGAGAATCCATCTTTAAAATTAATCAGAGACACCCACTTTCACACAGATGGAGCATTTTGTCAGTGGTTAGCAATTCCTGTTAGTAAGTATGCAAAGATAGATGCTGGGCTTTAAAGATTTAGAGTACCCATATTTAGGGAGACTGCAGGGAGGAAAGAGATGGGAAGAGGGTATCTAGATCAGAGAACAGTTATGCATGATGCTCATAGGAAAGCTAAAGGATAAAGGAAGAGGAGGAGATAAGGTTGGGGATTTTTTTTTTCCTTGGGCCTGATCACAGCCCTGGAAAGGTGAAAAGAAAGAAAGACAAAAGGAACATTTGGAAGAGAGAAATGAAACAAAACTATGATGGGAGAAAGTGTAGGAGGAGAAGAAAACACATTAAAGAAGTGAAGAAATTCAGAGAAGAATTCTGAGTAAGAGAGACAGAAAAAGAGGTGACTTAGAAAAATCTTGGTGAAACAGAGGAAGAGAACACATTTAGCTAAAGGCAACATAGAAAGAAAATTAAAGAAGGCCAAAACCATGGATGATGACAGATATGATGTAATCACTAAGGCTTTATTTCCTGGACAAAGCTATCACTACCCTGGATTTCCTGGAATCCTGCACTTGGCTATTTTTAGGATAATAAAAATTCCAGTATCTGTGCATGATCCCGGATGGGTACACTGGCAAAGATCTCGGTCAACAGAGACTCTCCAAAGTGCTTATTTAGTAGTTAATAAAACAGGTGCAGGTACAATGGCCCTTTAGAGGCAGATAGACATTGTGTCCTGGGCAAAACTAAGGCCAAGCTCATCAGACTGCCTTTGAAATGTCACACAAGAGTCAGACAGCAGCATACATTACTAGGAATTGACTTCTCCTGTATCAACAGGATTTGGTTTATTCCACCACAGCAAGAGATTCAAACTGGATATTGTAAACTAGCCCTGGGGAGTTCTGTATTCATGTTATTCACACCTGTGCAGTGCCAGACCCAGATACTCATGATGAGACTCCAGTTCAGTAACATACACAGCTGTCAAAGGTGCTACCATATTTAAGGGAGTCCAAGAGACCACCATGTTGATCAAGTTATGAAGTACAGACTAAAGAGAAATACTAATTATCGTGAAGTCAAGCCAATGCTCATGGTACATGATTCTTCTAAATTATAACTGTATATATATATACCTCCTATTTTCAGCTTGTGATTTCTTCTAACGATTGCTATGATAAAGAAGATTCAAAAACACCCTCTTTAAAACTACTTCAGAGACAATGATGAAAGAAAAGAGAAGGTAAAGACAAATGAGTTTACAAACAGATAACTAAAAGAAAAGAACAGCAGAATGAGAATAGACAGTCATAAGAAGTACCTTGCTTAACAAGAGTTATTAAACATTATAGAAGAAATTAGTTTGAGGCACAACAGGCACTGAAAGGACTGAGAAAAGGAGGCACTGTGATATTGCAAGAAGGGAAAAAAGGACTGAACACAGAGAAAAGGATGTATATTCCAATAACATGTCTTTTTAAATGTGTATTTTCCAGTAATCTTGCTTCTTCCTAACCATATTTGTAACATATATACATAAATAATGTCAATTGTGTATATATAGTAGTATATGCATATATAGGAGGCATATATAGATATACATATATATAGATATACATAAACACTCAGAAAGCTATTTAAAATACATTGTACCCATTGTATTTTAACTGAGGTGGGTAACAATAAAATGACAGACTTGACTGACATTTTGTTGTATCTTCATATGTTTTAAACCTATCTGAAAAAAAAAAAAAAGTTTGTGCCATTCAACAGATATGCAAGGATCTTCTAATAGTCCTTACAAGAGAGATTTGGAAGATTCCTCTGAAAACCATAGTTTGCATTAATGTATACGTATTTCCTATCCTCTCTTGTCACCTAATTTGGATATCACATACTGCAATGTCAAGGGGTTTATGACAGTAGCATAATGCAGGTACTTTTAATTTTTTTCCCACCAACCTACCAATGCTAAATAGACCATAATATATTGCATACACTGAAGTCCTCACATTGCCAGTCTCCATGCATCTTGCTTGTGCCATGGCAACTTTATAGGAAGGCTGCATCTTGACGTAAGGTTGCATGCGTACTTGTTCTGAGCTGTTCCCGCAGCTCCCTCCCAATATACAAAGAAAACCCTTCCTAACATTGCTGCTGTGTCTGCCTTCAGGTAGTCTTCTCCATACCTCTGACCTTCTTGCAGTCTGTTCCTGCTCCTTACAGACATTCAGCTCAAACTACAAGATGCTGAGTGCTCCTGAGAAAAGCCAGTGGTTCTTCTTCACTCTCACTTGCCTGAGTGATAGCTGAGGGCACTCTGCTCCTGTGGTATCTGACCACTTTTGTGAACTACTGTTTTCCTGGATTGTCTGAACATGAAACATGTGACAATGTGAATGACAAGTTCTGTACTCTACCTCTTGTCTCCAGGCTGTGGACTGCATTCATGAGAAGATTTCATTGAAATAAATGACTTTATAAAAAAGGTGGCAAACTCATCACTTGATTTACAGCGCAGTTAAGAGCAGTAGCTAGTGGAGCTGAAGATAACTGTATCCCATTCATCCAAATACACAACAATGCTGGAGTCCTGCTGGGTGGCATTTGTCCACAACGGCTGGGTATTGCACATACCACTCCAGGCTATTTGATACTTACCCAGGTGTTGGTGGATTTTACTTCTTGAAAATAGACTTAATTTGATGTGAATTCAGATGAAAATCTGCTGGAAAAGACTATGTTTCTGCTGCTTGATTACCAAAACTTTTTAGTTGTAAAATATAAATTATATTTTCCTATTCTTTATTATTTTACATACATAAACTTATCAGTCTCTTACATCCTTATCTTTCTCCTTCAGTTCTGTATAGATTCATGTCTTAGATGGGACATAGTTAATGATCATGTATCTAACTACACTGAAATGTTAGAGAAATTCAATATCCAAGCATGAACTTTGCATGCCTAGATAACTTTTGCAACCAGCTCTTGGAGAGGCTGCCTGTCCCCCATTTTGGGAACTGGCATCTGAAATAGCCAATTAGTAATATGTCAAGCCAGGGATTACCGAACTGTGGACCTCCTGTCCCTAAAACCCAGACAATCTGCATATATTTTGGACCATTTATGGCTATTCATCATTTCCTTTTCATTCATCCATCCACTCTTTACTGCATCGATTCTTCATCTAGCTCAAAAAAATAGGATAGTGATTAACACGGCACTTGGTACACTACAGTGGATTATATGGCTTTTGATTTGGATTTCAAATGTACGAGGGGTTGAACAACCATCAATGAGTGGGATCTGAAATACAAACCAAAGGAAGCCTAAACAAAACCCTACTGCTTGAGGTTTTCTGACTTATTAGTCTCTGCCTTAACGTGAGAGCAGCTGATACCTGTAGAGAAAAAACAGAGAAACTCTCACCTACTTTCAGTACGAGTAACATACCACAGTCGTTGTTACTTACTTCCTTCAAAGCAGTACTCTACAACATAGCCATCTAACCCTGCTGCTCCAATGTGGTCTGGTGGTCTCCATTTCATTGTAACTGAGGTGTCAGTCACTCCATCCACTGCCAGGAGAGTTGGTGGACTTGTAACAGCTGAAGCAAACAGGCAGCGGGAAGAAGGCAGAAAACAGGTTGCAATTAAAGGCTTACATTTAAGGTGTGCATTCCTCTAATTTATTGTCATAGGTGACAGGTTAAATCTTGCCTACCAGGCACCTCCTATCATCCCTAGCACATCTTTCCCATTTAGAAACAAACTAGTTGAAGAAGGTACCTCATCCAATATCTACACATAGCCTAACACAGAGTTAAATTCTTCGTGCTGAGGAGTGAGAAGGACAAAGAGTGTTGGAAGGTAGAGCAGAGAAACTGTGAGTAGCGTTTTCTATGACAGCAGTTATATTCTGGCTAGAGGGCAGCATGCTGTAGCAATAGCAGCCACCTTCCTCCTCCTCCTCTGCATCGAGGAGATGCTGCTGAGCAAGGTGTGAACCTTTGCTGGTCTATGGAACAAGAAATGTTTATTTTTATTTTCCGGGGATTTGTGGTGTTCACAATAGTTTGAAATTCTGTTTCTTTATATGAAAGAACCACTAAATTAATCTGTCACTAGGTGAATGACAAGGCCTTCTAGCTATTCTGTTCATATAAAGCAATAAGATGACACGTAGAATAGTATAAAATATGTCCTAGCCTAATCTGTGTTGTCTGAAAAAGGATATTGAAAATATGTGATCCCTTTCTGGGAAAAAAAGCCCCTACTTCAGCTAATGAGGGTCCATGTGTCATAGAAAGAAATTAAGGACTATTAAAATATATCTTATCATAAGATTTATTGAAATATTAGGCAAGCTCACTTAATTTTTTCCCATGGATTTCTACCTTTATGATAGACCCTGTGGGTTCTGATAGGTATGATAGAACCTGTGGGTTGTTGGGGTTTTATTTAAGGGAAATGTATAGATTATTTGTGAATACTTGGACATTTTTAAATGACAAGCAACTATGTAAGAGAGTAGTGAAACTGAAAGAAAGACTAATTTTCATACAGGACAGCCTGCAAATAGTGATCTTTAAACTTCTGGTCACTTTTCCTGATCGTTTTGGCCAAAAGCCAGTACCTGACTGAATACAGGAGAAGGACCCACAAAACAACCAAGACTCATCATTTTTATCAGTTCTCTAAATTGTCACTTTGACTGGCAATAATTTGATTCTGTTTACTCAGGAGATACTATGATACACAAAAATGTTGAACTATTAGTTCCGGTCTTTAAAACATACTGGCCATAGTATTGACCATACCAGGCTCATTGCATGTCACTGTTTTATTATAGTGCTCCATCTTTCTGTCTGTACGTCCTTGTTTCTTGTTTATAAGAGACTATAAATCCTTCAGGAATGGACATATAGTTTATGCAGCACCTGATAAAGACACATCCTGAGAACCGCAGTTATAAAATTAGATGACTATAATAATGTATTAATGATAATTTTCTAAATGCATACCTATCTCTATACTCTTGATTACTTACCTAAAGGAACAAAGGACTTGGAAGGCATACTTGGTTTGGAAATGCCTATTGCATTAACAGCAAATACACGGACCTCGTAAGCAACACCTTCAATCATCTTCTTTGGCTCAAAAGTTGTTTCTTTACACAGTTCAAAATTCAACCTCATCCACCTGGAGCTTTGTTTCTTTTTCCTTTCAATGAAATATCCTATTGACCAAACAAAGTTTTATTATAGTAAATGGTGGCATAAAGATCAATAGTGAGTGGTCTATTTTTTTTACCTGCCCAATGGTGTTTTTTCTGGATACACCTCAATGAGTGGTTTAGGGCGTTATTAAGTTTTTCCCATTGCAAGCTATCTGATAGTCACCTGTTGGGCTTCCATGGCCACACAGGAATTTTTTTTGGACTTCACTTACAACATCACTGTATTTATTTCAGGGTGAAAAGAGCTTGGTTTGGCTGGCCTCTGGGCTCCTCTGACTTTCCTCTTGGCTCAGTGTATTAGAAGATATACTCAGTAACTTGTTTCTGAAATTCTTGCTAACATTCAAAGATGCTAAGTATTCAAAGTTTGGTATTATAAAAGGTTGTCTTTCAGGTAGGGGGATAGATAATGTGACAACATACAAATTGACAAATCTGAAAGCATTAGAAAAACAGGTATCAAATAATGTTGAAGATTGGGTAGAACGTTCTTACAACTGGATACTCAGATTTCAACTATCCAGGGACTGAGCTAAAGTCTGATCCTATGGCGCCTATTATCTGGGGTTCATTTCTTTTGTCTCTGTGAAAGCATTACCAGAAAAAAAAAGAAAAGCATGCACCTAAGATGGGTGATCCACCGTCATTTGCTGGAGGTTCCCACGTCATAACACACCAGTCTTCACCCACCTCAGTCACATTTGGTGCCTCAGGAGGATCGGGGACATCTGTTGTAAACAAAGTAAATATTTATTTTTTTAAAAAATTAAAATCTTTCTTCTTTTTGCGTATGTTGAAGTAAAAAATGTAAGAGACAATGCAGAATAGTTCTCGAAGTGCAATAGGAGTTCCTAGTGAGGAGAGGGAGAGAAAGAAAGGACTTTGTGGATCCTGGCAGGTGATTAGGAAGGGATAAATGCCAAGCTCTTCAGTACAGTTAAGACACCTGAGAGGCACTTGAGGCTATGTGGTAAGACAGAGCCCACAGCCACATGGAGAACAGAGAATGTTAAGGGCAGCCTGAGGCAACTGCACAAGTTTGGCCCACACAGTGTGAGGCAGCGGTGGGGTGAGAATTAACTCCTGCCTAAATCTCACGCTTAGCTCCCATGTCCTTCAGTAACAGTGGGCCTTAGTACCCTCACACCTCCATTCCACATCTGAAAACAGGGACAAACAGGGAAATAGAAGTTTTCTGATGGTCTGCAACAGTTTGGTAGTTAGGGAGGACACATATACAGAAGAGGCTCTCCAGATAAAGGAAGAAGAATTTGTCTTTTATTGGGGCACAGAAAGTAAGGTTCTTCAAGGAACACTTATTGAAAAGGGCTGTGATAAAAGACGTGTCTCGTGTGCACTGTACCACATGACTTACCAACCACTTTAATGTTGATTAGAGCTGTGTCCTCTCCAGCCTCATTCTTTAACGTTATTCTGAAAGGACCTGAATCTTCCCTCTCAGCTGTATCAATGACCAGACAGCTGCTGTCTGAATATGTTTCTGCCCGTATTCTTCCACTGTCTGTGATCCACTAGGAATCAAAGTAAGCAGAAGAAAATGTCATATTTAGAATTCATCATTCACTTTCTAATATCAGACCATATCATGGCTTCCTGCCAAAATCTGGCAGCCATTCTGGGCAGAATGTACAGAAGAAGTAGCCATTTTGTAGAATTTCACTGATTATCTTCTGCATCTCTTATGTCCCTCTCCTTTACAATTTATTTATAACAAACCCACTTTTTTTTCCTTTGTTAATTTCAACACTTCTGCAAAAAACACCCAAAAGATACTAAATAATATTTATCCATTTTACCCTTTATTTTAAGTAAGGAGAATTTTTAGATAAAATATATCTCATTTTCTGCAATTAAAATCAATCTCTTCACAAGGCTAAAGGTTATTTTTTGAAGGAAAAGGCCTTTTCTTAGCTTAAGAAAAGTGTAGAATGACAATGTACCTTGTCCCCTTTACTCCACATGACTTTTGGAGTTGGCTCGCCAGTGATGGGAATCTCAAGTCGCAGTTTGGTTCCTGCCACTACTGTCACAGTGTTATTTTCCCCAAGACCATCCAGATGGAGTTTAGGAGGATCTGAAAAAGGAGAGGTGGTCAGAATTTGCTATGTAGATGCCACTCTGAGAGTTCAGTGGCCTGGCACAGGTCTGCAACATAGAGAATCATGCTCTATGTTTTGTATTTTCCTACTGTTTTTAGTCAACTGATTATTGTTCAGAAGAAAATTTGTGAAGAAAATTTCTTTTTAAGAAAATAGGTGTCTGATGAAAAACAAATCATGGCACCGTAGAGATTTTGGAATAGTAAGACTATTAACAAAAAAAATCTATCTTCCTAAGGCAGAATTATGTTTATTCAGGTAACTTCTGAGAGCTATTTCTTCTAAGCGGCTCTTGAGAATTTCCATTGCAGGCTTTCTACCACACCTTTTAGCATGCTTCAGACATCACTGTTCTTACAGTTTCAAAGTTTTGTTACCCCAAATCCTTTTTCAGAAAATGAAATTGTCACTTTTATTGTAGCCCATGTGTGTGGAGAACAACTGGTGAATATTCTTTTACAAATTTTTCTAGTGTATTGGAAACTATATCAGTGGCCATGCCCCTCTAGTACCTTCTTCCCTCTTTATTCTCCCACTTCTTGCAGCTTCGACTACAGGACATTTCTTCTGAAACTTTATATAAATTTAAATAAAGTCAAAAGTTGATTTTTTTTTAAAAATCATAATTTTTTAAAATATAATATTTTTAAAATAAAGGGAAAAGTTTTGACTTCCAATGCAGTTGCAATTAAAAGCCAGTGAGGTATTGTGGGAAAAGTCAATGCCTTGTTTTATTTTTCTTCGTAAGGTTGGGATCATTAACAAGCTGAGTGAATAAAAGCTGGTCAGAAACATTTTTCTCTATAGATACCATTTAACATATCTAGGGAATAGGTAAATATTTATCTATTCCACTAATCTTTTACCAAACTAAATCACATTCTGCAATGTGAGCAAGCCAATTCTTCAAGGAAGACAACACTGTATAGCTGAAAAGAGGATAGCAACAGGTGTTTGATACAATTTTAATTTAGGAATTCAGCATCAAGAAGCCTTCCCCGGTATTTCCATCAGGCCTGTAAACTATGAGCAGCTCCTGAGTACAGGCAAAGTGCTTTCTGAGTAGCTCACTTGCACTTTGCCAAAGCAGCAGGCCTGCTTTCTCTGCTAGGTGCCTTCTCAGAGGAAACAAACTGAATGTAATCAAAGATATTTCACTCTGCTTTTAACTTCCAAAGGTCAGAGAAAAATATGCTATTGTGCCATATACTTACCCACAACATGCACTTTGCATGGAATATTAATGTTATAGGCATCTGGTACAAACGTGTATTCACCCTCATCATCAACAGCAGCGCTTGCTATAACAAATCTGTGGATTCTGTAAAAAATTGAAAAGGCAATCAGTGTAAATTATTTTTTGAACACTACTTGAAGCTGTAAGGAAAAATCTGAAAAATTTAGGAGATCTATGCAAGTGTGTTAAACTGCTAACTAAAAATCCTTTGTTGACTGCTTGGTGATGTGATTTGTACAAAATATTACTGAGACAACCACCAAATAATGTAAACATTTCTAATGCTTTTTGTTTGAATACGGTAGGAGAAAAAAATTACAAGAATGTAATCTCTTTGACGTAGGGATTCTGTGCCACTGCCATTAGATTGTAATTCAGTTTTTCAAGAAGAAATCTTTAGGTGATCTCACTGTGGGAATATTCTGACTTTTGTTAGATTGTCTTTGTGTCAGGACTCAATTTACTATTTGTTTGTGAGAAGCAAACAGTGAGCAAAGCATATCCTGCTCTTAGGACCTAACCATGTCTTCCAGTACGACGATATTATTGCTCCCCGTGACCTGCTGTGTCTGAGCTTTATTCAAGGTAGGACTCACCTCTGCGTCCTTCCTACTCCACTTTCCCTCAGCTCACCCTATGGGCCTATATGGGTTGTGAGGAGTTCCTTCACCTTATGTCAATCCAAGAGGTCATTGCACAGCTGGCACTTGTCTCTTGCTGCAACTTAGCGAGTGTTATGGAGTCAATGCAAACATTTCATAGCCTATTTAGGAACCTCCTCACAAATGCAGTTCCCAGCTGTATGAATGGTCTGCTAAGCCACAGTGAAGGGTATGTCATTAAAGGAAGGGCATGGCTTTGTTTCTGTTTTAAAACTGACAAACTTTCAATAAAAAAAGTCAGATTATAAATGCAAAGGGACCTGAAACCTTCGCATGCCTTGCATGGGCAGAGATACATATGTCTAGACTGACACAAACAGGAGCTATCAGAAAAACAGATATTTAAAAGCTATATATTTTTCATGATATCTAACAATTACTTTACTACTTAATAACCCATAATCATAGCAACAGAAATGTCAAGAAAAATCAGTAACTTGAACTTAGGTGGATCAGGGATTTGATAATTGTCCTCAACAGCCAAAAGACATAAGATGAAAGAGGGCATGAAGACATAGCTTTTATGCTGATAAAAATAAGCGAGTTTGAGGAACAAAGGATGGGCTTTTTTACCAGATAATTTTCAGTGAGATAACCCACATATTGCCACATCTCTACAGTGTCATTCCTTATAAAGTCAAGTCAATACACAAGAGGCTTACCTTCCTTTGTGATAAAGCTTTACGCGGTCACTAGCTTCGATCAGTTGCCCATTTTTGTACCATTTCCCTTCCACATTCTCAGATATCTCACACTTCAGATGGATTTCCTGCCCAAGCCTCACAGTCTGGTCTTGTAGTGCAAGTGATATCTTCAGTGGTCTCACTTAGGAAAACAGGAGCAGAGATATTAATGGTAATAACAAACAATAGCTCATGATTCTGTCATGGAGCTGCAATTAGCCATCACAAGTCTTCAAATCAGAAAAATGTCTCAAGTAATTAAGCTCTCAAGTCAAAATACCAGTAATATATACGTGTAAGCTATGTAAATTTACCTCTTTTAATGTAGTCTGATGTCTTAGAAAGGGTGATCCAAAACACCTGTGCCTTGACCGGGAAAATTCCGTGGTTATTGCCAGCAGAAGAACTAGGCCCAGGAGCACAATCTGAATGCTGTTCCCCCTCTCTGGTGTTTAGGCGCTGGAGGTAGGGGCTTTCTATCCCCCAGAGTCCATTAAGAATCTTTTAAGAAGTGAAAGACCTATGTCCCTAGATCTATACACTAGAAGGAAGTGCAACCCACCTTTCCTATGGTCTAAGAGTGATCTAGCTCCTCTCATAGCTCTCCTAGCTGACATAATTTGAAGACTTAACCAAGTGTTTCATTACAGGTGGAGACCTGTTTTGTTAGGCTGGTAGCAAAGGCTGACTAGCCAGTAAACTTAACTTCATACACTACTTTTTCTCATGTTTTCTAAACTGCCTTAACTCACCCTGTGAATACCCACAGATATTTCTAGATTTTGTAAAAGTTGAGTCTGAGAGCTGGTACCCCAGTTCACTTCCACTTTCTGGATCATTAGATGCTGTAGACCAGAGTCCAGGCTGAACACACATTGTTATCTCTGTGCAGTAAATATCCCTGCCTATAATCTGACACAGGAAACAAAGTGTGGTGAGAAGAGTAGTGTTTTATAGAAAGCCAGTTGGAAAACCCTGAGAAGACGCTGTGTGAAAGGAAAGATGACAGAGGATGATTTCCAATTTCATAATATAACAGCGTGAGTTCTTAGGATGCCAGTTTGTACAAAATAGTCAAATGTCTGAGTATTACAAAATAGTGTATGTTCATGCATAATATGTGAAAACTTTAGAGGATGGGCACATACGTTTTGCTAAAAAATCACAGGCATTTTAAAGAGTTATTCCACAAGCAATACTGAGGGAGCTACATAGTCATGTGCTTGTATGAATTCAGGTCAAGTGACACTGATGCCTGTTGACACTGTACCTATTTATAGAACTTTTTTTTTGTGAACATACTTTTTTATTTTTTTCCCTCTAATTTTGGCTAATAAGACTTGGTTTGGCTTTCCTGGGAAAATCTGAAAGGATTAAAGTAGATGCTTTGTTGACCTATTATATCTTTGAATGAGTAGCTTTGTTTTCCATCTTAATGGAATGACAGAAAGTTTTCAAGCAGGACTAGTTAATTTCTTGTTATTGCAAACAGCATCTAAAGGAAAGTCACTATTCTGGAGATTTACAGGAAAGAAATTGGTATGGAAGTTAAGCCTCCGTTTAAATCCCCAGGAAAAGGCAAGCACATTATTTCTGTAAGGTAGTAAACTGTGACATACAAATTCAAGAGCAAGATGGATGATACTTACAATCAACAGAAAGCTTAGCCTCTGATTGGCCTCCAGTTGTCATTACTGAGTAAACTGCATTGTCATTTTTTGCAGCTTCCTCTATGATCAAAGTGTGTTTTTTACCCTCAACCTTGAATTTATACCGAGATTTAGGATCATTTGGAAGTTCTACACCATTTCTAAACCTAATGGAAAACAAAGAATGATTATTTTTCCAGTAGAAGTTCTGTGCAAGTAAGGCTCTCATAGACTGAAACTTCCAGAGAAGATTTTATAAAACTTAAGCACAAGAAAAGGTTAAACAAACTCATCCATGAATGTGTAAGTATATTTTTGCTGTTGTTACATTTTGGAATAATGATTTCTTGAGTTTTTCTTAACAGTTTGGGGGTTTACTGTTGTATAAAAAGCTATCCACATTTTTGCCTACAATTAAAATATTCTGAATTTTATACCCAAAGAAAACAGTATCTGTTCAAAGTGTGACTTACCATTTCACATTTGCGTCATCCTCGGACACTTCACAGCTCAGTTCTACTCGTTCACCAACGTAAGTACTGGTATCCTCCAGGCCCTTGGTCACCAAAATTGGAGGATCTTTGGAAAGAGAAAATTACAGACTTACAACCTGAGAGAGAAAACTA